TGGACCATCACGTTTGAGATATCTTTTTCAGGTAGTTCAGACACAAACCACGACAGCTTATTGTAGAATACTACCTACACTGGACCACCACATTTGAGATATCTTACCTAATAATTCCATCAGAACAACCACAAAATATCAACTGTTCATTCACTGTTAAACTGAAAGCACCGTTCACTCTCAATTCCACCCATTTCTCCAGCAAACGTTTCTGATTAAACGAGCACAATAACCCTGACTTGGTCACACTGTAAGTCAGCGTCGAGTTCACCCCAACACCACAAGCTACATCGATAAACTGATTATCTCGTTTCTCTCCTAATATGGCAGGCCTGCCCTGTAGTGGGATCTTTTTCTTCACCTAACAGAAATAAATTAAGAATAAAGATCCATTTCCACTCAGGAAAATTTTCCGCAGAAAGAAAAACTTTGGGGGTGAAAATTTTCAACTTTTAACAATGATATTATCGGAAACGTTTCTGTCCGTGGAAATTATTCTTGAATGGAAATAGGCCTTTCATTGAAATGCAGTCTAACCCTTAACGCACACATGGTTCCTGCCCCAAAGACTTTAAATTTTAACAATCAACAGTAAAAACCAATTTGAAGAAAATTCACTAGACGCATATTTGTTATTAATGTTTTGCAGTATTTCTACGTGGTATAAACGCTAATAACTTGAACTAATCTCCTAAAACTAACTTTTCATTAATCTGTCGTTCAAGCAATCGAAAGAAAAACTGTCTTCTCGAATCTTGAACTCGCTGGGAAGTTCCACACCAAAACCAGCCCCGCTGTTGACACATTACTACTGTTCCTAAATTAGTCGGGCGTTGCCTCCTGCTGTATTCGCTATAGACCCATTGGACATGACGTCTCAGCGCCGGTGACGATGCATCTGGAGGACAAATTAGCAATCTATGCATAATATAACTTTTGTAAACAAAGCAAATTTTGTAAAACTTTAGAATAATTTTGTATTAAAATGGTTCATTTTTGCGATGTATGTGGTTGTTGTACCCGAAATAGGAGTTGTTAGGGAGCATCTGGAGGACACTCTAAAGATTTGTGACGTCAGTTTAATGGGTCTATTGCAAAGTTGCAAATCCATATAAATTAAGCAGACACCTCTTTTAAGTGCACACATGCTTCTAAAAATTCTCTTCCTCCTAGCTTTAAGAATTTGTTTTTGGTCAATAGCGAGGTACATAGCTATAATACCAGAAGTTCGAATCTAGTTAGTATACCATTATTCTGTAGAACAAAATCACGACAATTTTCTGTCTACTATCAAAGTCCAGTATTTTTTAACTCCTTGGACCAGAATATACGGAACGCTAAGTCTTGTCTATTCTTTCCAATTGAAACTTAAAAAGCATTTAATTTTCGATAATTTGTCTGATGATTTAACTAAATAGTATCTAACTTACATCTAGGTGTGTGGATCTAAGTATCTTCCTTTTGATATTACGTGTGTGTCTTCGTATTATATTTAGTTTCCTTGTTGTATGACTGCTCACTATTCTACCTTATATATATTTAGGTAACATATTCATTAATATTTGGCATGAGGTGTCTTTCATTTCTTTTTGTCTTTTCTAATATTACTTTTGTAAAAATTGTTGGTTTTTTTGTAATTATTTGTGGCAAATTATTAAAATTCATTCAAAAATTCAAAAACTCAGCCTTAAACGATCTTCAATGGAAAACGCCGAAGCAACGCGTAGACTTGTTATGAAAGCCAGACTCATGTATAAAATTGTTCATGCGCAAGCTGCAGCTATTCTGACCAAAGCATTTGAAAACCCATTTATCCCTCAAAACAACTATAACTTAGGCAACTCAGACCTTGAGTTCTTTTTCCCAAAACCTGGAACGGAGCGAAACTCCGGAATAGCTTACCGCGCGAGCTAAGAAATTCTTCATCATTAAATATATTTAACGCTTTAATTTCCTATGCTAATAGACCTAATCGTCTAATTAACCTAATTGTCTAATTAACCTAATTGTCTAATTAACCTAATTGTCTAATTAACCTAATTGTCTAATTAACCTAATTGTCTAATTAACCTAATTGTCTAATTAACCTAATTGTCTAATTAACCTAATCGTCTAAATAACCTAATTGTCTAATTAACCAAATTGTCTAATTAACCTAATTGTCTAATTAACCTAATTGTCTAATTAACCAAATTGTCTAATTAACCCAATTGTCTAATTTAATAGTGCATTTGCTCCAGCGTGGGTAAATATAGTTTTAATTAAAAAAAAAGATAATATCGTGTTTATGTCAGATGGATTATTCGTCTAGACACACTTCAAATAAAACAATTGTTTTATGTGGATACTAGTAAGGCCTTCTAAAACTACACAGATATACTTCGTATCAGATCCATTGTTTGCCACAATAATACTGTACAAAGACGATTGTTTTCTGGGTTCAAGTTTAACCAGACGTATATAAATCTGTTTACTTCTAACTTTTCTTTCTTTTTCAAGACTGTGGCATACCTTGTTTGCATTGTCAGTGGAGCCAATATACCAGAACTTCACTAGCCTCACACCAACTGTAACAAAATAGTCTCCTTTCTCGGAAAATGAAATTGCATGCACCTGAAAAATAAGCTCTGATTAAGCTCTGACGAAGAGCCCCCACTCAAAACATATTAAAATACTAAAGCATTATTGTCGATTTTCAAGTCACTTTTCAACGCGCGGGTCCCAACTTCGTTGCGAACTTGCCAATTGCTTTTCCCAGTTCGGAAATTGGGCGCGAACGTCGCAACAAAGTTCGCAAGTTCATTTCAATGTTTGAACTTCGTTTGTAAAAAAATATGTTCATACGCAATAATAATAACCAATTCAATGAAATACAAACCTTCTTGGTACACAACTGGACCAAGAACTTTCCATTGAATTGTTAATTTCAACTTGAACTATGAACATTTGTTTACAATAGTTCAAACATTGAAATGTACTTGCGAACTTTGTTGCGAAGTTCGCGCCCAATTTTCGAACTTGGAAACGTAATTGACCATTTGCGTAATAGAGTAAATTTTGATCTAAACAAGTCAAGACAAAATTTTCATCACAGCTTGAAAGAGCATCACAAAATTATTAATAACGCAAAGTTTCGTTGCGAAATACTGTAAAATGCGGAAAATATAGCCTTGCGAAGTTTGCAATTTTCAGTCATTTTAGATTACAAACGGGAAATTGACAGCCTCAAAGGGTTTGGGGCTGTCAATTTCCCGTTTGTAATCTAAAACGACTGAAAATTGCAAACTTCGCAAGGCTATATTATCCGCATTTTACAACATTTCGCAACGAAACTTTGGAATATTACTAATTTTGTGATGCTCTTTCACTAAGCTGTGATGACATTTTTGTTGAGATCAAAATTTAGTCTATTACGCAAGTGGTCAATTGGCAAGTTTGCAACGAACTTGTCTTGGGACCCGCGCGTTGAAAAGTGACTTGAAATCGACAATAAGTTACCTTTGAAGACACTTTGTTGCAAGCAATGGTAGTCCCTTCCTAAAAATTTTGAAAAAAGTACTTGCAAGTTGATACAATCTAACCTCTCCTCTATACAGAAACCTCAGTCTACACTACTACAACAAAGATTTTACACATTTTGCACAAGAGATCTTAAGTCGTCGTAATGACCTCTATAAAATGAACACATCCCCAATACATTAAACGCTTGACAATGCATAGTCTCTTTGATATCTGTAGGCGTGGTTATAAGCAAGGCCAGATTTTGGTGGAGAAAAAAAAATTAGGGGAGGTGCAGCGGTCTAGCTCACGACCCCCATGGAAAGTTAGGGCTTATAGAACGGGCGAAAGTCAACGACGTGACGTATGCATGTAGCGTACATATGTATCAGTTTAATGAATTATGAGTGTACAACTCATCCAATTTTGCCCTTCATTACAATTATTGCAAAGTTTCCTTCAAAACATTGCATTAAAAGAATACTTGACACAGAGATGAATGGCTATTACTGTTTCAATTTCACCGAAAAAGTTCTTACGAAGTGTCGACCCTAAGCAACCAAAAAATGTTTAAAAATGTCCATTGCAACCCTAAACAACCAAAATTTTCACTCTGATCTATCATTGAAACTTTCCCAAGGGGAGGTGCATGACTTTTCAGGGCAGGTGCAAAGATTCTCAGGGGAGGTGGAAAACGATCTCAGGGGAAGTGCGCACCTCCCCTCAAAATCCGGCCATGGTTATATAAGATAATTACCCTCCAATTCCATATATTGACAAGCATATCATGTTGAAAACCAACAGAAACCACATATTTCATGTTGGGTGAAAATGCCTGGAATAAAAGATAGACATATAGTCATAAGAAATGAAGGCAAATTAGGGTATTAAGTATGCTGTCTTTTTGTCATCAGTTGAGCTATGTT